CCCCAGCAGCAGCAACAGCAACCGTCGCAGCAGCAGCCGCAGCAGCCCCAGCCGTGGGCCCTTCTCCCGCCTAGGTGGCCCGGCACCTCTGGAGGTGGTGGCGGTGGTGGCGGCCCTCGCAGCTCGACGCCTACCGACAGCTCCGTTACTGTGACCTGCTAGTACCAGCTTCAGACCGCACCTCTCCGCGGCACTCTGTGCCGCCGTACGCACCTGACCGCTCGCTGTTTTTTTTGTGCCTCAACGATCTGTTCCGTCGTCGCTTTGACCCGGCCCCGGACCTCCCCGATTGGCACAGCCTTCTGAGCCAAGGTGTGCCTATCTTTGATTTAGACATGGATCAAATAGGTGCTGCTTTGCATGCCTTGTATGCTCACGCTTCTAAAGTTGCTGGATCTTATTACCCTCTATTCACTAGCTTAGGTGTAGCACCCTTGAGTAGTCTAGCCTCCCCTGCTGCGTTAGGTGTAGGACTATCTGGTTTGTCTAGCCTAGGCTCTATGCCTGCTCCTTCTCCGTCCTCGGCTACTGCTTCGCTCTCCTTCACCCTCGACTCCGGTGCGTCTGCCTACTACTTCCACGACTGCTCCATGCTCACGTCGCTTGCTGCGCCTGCTGTTGTCGCCCTTGCTGACCCCTCTGCGGGTCCTGTCGTCGCTCGCAGCTCCACTTCCCTCCCCTGTCCGGCCGTACCCTCGGGCTCTCTTACCAGACTCCACGTTCCCTCGTTCTCCATGAACCTAGTTGGTGTCGGCTGCCTTCAGGACCTCGGCGTCACCACTACGTTCCATGGGCACGAGCGGTTCGCTATCTATACCGAGGCCGCCTCAGGTTTCCCCCTTGCGACGATCCCCCGGGTCCCGGTATCTGGTCTGTTTACCCTCGACACCAGTTGGTGCATCCTCTCAGGTCGCTGCAGCTTGCTCGTGTCGATCACTCACCCACCCGTCCCTCCTGTGGCACCACCACCTAGGCCACCCCGCACTCCCGCGTCTGCGTCACATGTCTTAGCACGGTCTTGTCTTAGGTCTCCCTGCGTCACTCCCCACCCTTCCCCCCTCGCTTGCGCCACCGTGTACGCCTTGCGTCGAGGGCCGACTCCGCCGTGCTCCTCACTCCTCCTCGCATCGCCCTGCTATTGCTCCCCTTCAGACCCTACACCTGGACGTGTGGGGCCCAGCCCCCGTCCTTGGACCGCGTTGCGAGCGCTACTTCCTTGTGCTCGTCGACGATTACACGCGCTACACCACGATGTTTCCCCTGGAGCGGAAGGCTGACGTGCCTAACGTTCTTATCCCGTGGGTTGTGGCTGCACGTCTTCACCGCTGTCTCCCAGTGCTGCGTCTCCACTCTGACCGTGGCGGCGAGTTCGCCTCTGGTCGGATTGGACAGTTCTGTCGTGCGGAGGGCATCACCCAGTCGTACACCCTGCCGGACTCTCCACATCAAAATGGGGTTGTGAGCGCCGCATCAGCTTGGACATGGAGGTGGCTTGTACCTCCATGATTCATGCCGATGCAACCCATTTTCTGTGGCCGTTCGCTGTTCGCTACGCTGCTCACCAGCTTAACTTGTGGCCGCGCTCCCAGCGGCCGCAGGTTTCGCCGACCCTCCTTTGGACAGGGTCCCTTGGTGACGCGTCTCTGTTCCACGTCTGGGGCTGCCATGCTCACGTTCGTACCTCTGGCACGAACAAGCTCACAGCCCGTACCGTCCCCTGTGCCTTCCTTGGTTTCCCCCTTGACTCGTCGGACTAGCAATTTTACCACCCGCAGTCTCACCGCTTCCTTCACTCTCGTGACGTCACCTTTGACGGGTCGGTCTCCTTCTACAGCCGCTTCCCTCACCGCGGTCTCCCGATTTCCCCTCCCCTGTTCCTAGCTCCCTCTCCCCCGGTAGCCCCTGCTCCCCTCCCGCCTCGTCCTGCCCCGTCTGGTGTCTCCCACGTCACTCCCCTCCCGTCGGTTGTCCTCGTTGAGGAGTCTGCTGACTCTGGCGGTCCCCCTGGGCCATCCTTGCCACGTCCCCCTTCCCCGGTGTCTCCCCCTCCGCTGTCGCAGTCGCCGCCACCGCAGCTGTCATCGCCGCAGCAGCCGCCGCTGCCGCTTGTGGCCTCTGCGGGTGCTCGTGTTGAGGAGGGTGTTAGTCCTGCGGCTCCTTTCGTGGCTTGTCCTAGCAGGCCTGGGGGTGGCACTGGTGCTGGAGGGAGTTCTCGCCCTGGGGTTGCTGGTTCTGGGGGTGTTGCCGTGGAGGGTTCTGCTGGCGGTCGTTGTGCCATTGCCGGTCCAGGGGCTGGCGTCGAGCAGCAGCTGCCGCCGCAGCCGTCGCAACAGCAATCGACGCCGGTCTCCGCTCTTCGCTTGCTCGGCCTTCCCTCCCCTGACCACTCGCCGGTGCCGCCCCCGCCACCACCTCCGCTTCCTGTCTACGGCCCTGCGTTCCCTCCGCCAGACTCGTCTCCGGCTCGTCCTCCTCCTCATTCCCCCCTTGTGTCTCCTCCGCTCTCTCTTGACCCTACTCCTCCGTCCCACGTCTGGTCTCGCCGTCCTTCTTGTGCTCGTCCCGTCTCTCCTGTCTCGCGCTCTCACCTTATGTTGCTCCGTTCCCACTCGTCTCGTCCTCCCCTCCTCCCGTCGCCTCCTCCGTCGTCGCTTCTTGTTTCACCTCCCCCTCTGGTTGACTACCTTCGCGCCGCTCCTCCCCTTGTTCCCCGGGTTCTTGCCTCTCTAGTTACCGACCCGTCTGTTCCTGTCTCGTGCCTTGATGCTCTTGTCGCTGCTGTCGCTAACTTCGCCTCTACCCACCGCCTTGACTACGCCACTGCTCTGGTCTCTGATCCTGCTCGTCCTCCGTCCGTCGGGGGTGCACCTGTCCTTGGCAGTGACGTTCTAGAAAATAGGCCGTACGAGCTTGCTTTCCTTTCCGAGGCTGCTCCGCATCTCTGCTCGATGCTCCTAGTCCCTGAGGGTTACCCAGACGCCTTTGACATCCCGAGCCCTTGCACCTACGCTGAGGCCACCTCGGGATCCTGAGCCTCTCGGTGGATAGCTGCCATGGAGCAGGAGATGGCATCTTGGAGGTCCACCGGCACTTACGTCGATGCAGTTCCCCCTCTTGGGGTGAACGTAGTTGATGGTAGGTGGCTCTTCAAGGTGAAGCGCCCCTCTGGAGAGCCGCCTGTCTTCAAGGCGCGTTACGTGGCTAAAGGCTTCAGCCAGTGTGAGGGGGTGGACTTCTTCCAGACCTTGCTAGGCACACAGACGCTTCTTGGGCAGACGACTCTCAGACCCTCAGGTCATTGCAGGGCTATTGTTTCAGCCTTGGGTTAGGGGCCATCTCTTGGAGTCCCACTCGCTCGTCGTCTGTTGCTCAGTCTAGCTGTGAGGCTGAGATCTATGCCGGTGCCATGGCAGCACAGGAGCTCCGCTGGCTGACTTTCTTGCTCACAGACTTAGGTGAGCAGCCTAGCTCTGCCCCGGTCCTGTACGCTGCCAACAGGGCCATGATTCTCCTGTGTCAGGAGCCTCGACTTGAGAGCAGAGCGAAGCACATTCAGCTGCAGTACTTCTTCCTGCGCGAGCTACAGCAGCGTCGCCAGGCCCGCATAGTTCACTTAGCCTCCGGTGCCAACACAGGTGATATCTTTACGAAGGCGCTTGTGCCTAAAGATCATCAGCGGCACTGTGTACAGCTGGGTCTTGTTCCTGTAGCTACTCACTTGCTAGGGCCTTGATTGTATACTCCTGGCTGTATATATATCTACCTGACTGGCCTTGTGGCTCTACCCCCAGTGGCTGGACTAGTAGTGCCGCCCTGGCTTGCTATTGTCTTGTTTGTACTCCTGCTGACTGGTCTTCGGACCCCTGCCTTAGTGGTTGGACTAATAGTGCCACCCTGAGCTATATGCTTCTTGTTTAGCACCACCCCTTCCCTAGCCTAGGGGGTGTGTCAACTTATACATATATTGCATATAGAAGTTATAGGCTAGTATCGGTGTGTGCTCCTAGTGAGTACAACCCAACTGCTATATGTTATGTATTCTCTGCCTAGTAAATCATTCCATTATTCTAACAAGCCCAACTCCCATGCGTAATCCCAAGCCACCCTTGGCCGCGGCTTGCAACGTTAGACTTGGGTAAGGAGAGAGCAATGCTCACCATTCCCAGGTGTGGCACTTGTACCCCCCAGCTTTGCTGGTTGTTCTTAGAGCTTGTCCAAAGTGGGATGTCGACTACATCCATCCGAGATTCATGTGGGTTGACTGTGTTTCAACTATGCTCTAGAAAGGTACAGTTAAAGCCCCAGGCTATAATAGTAAAGAAGGGCCACACTTGAACCTTTGCCTTCTAGATTGCCGTCTAGAACCTTATAGACCGACTGACTAGAATTACTGTTAATCTGAAATGTGTTGCTCGATTTTGATTGGCTGACACATCAATCAGCTTGGCGAATTGTATAGAACGACACTTCTAACGCGCTCATGACTTGAGCGACTCATAAGGGATCGCATGTGCGATAGTTTTCCCTAGAACCCAAATCGATTTTCAAGTTGGGATCAGGTTTGCTTCTCGGGTGTCACAGGGGGTTTCAGAAACAGTGCGACACCTTGCAATCTGTACGACGAGCGAGATCGTCGAAACACTTGCAAGTGAACAGTGGTTCACTTTGAATTGGAAACCTTTCATGCACGAACTGCTTCCGAATCTATTTCGAACACAACCGGCTGCCCAAAAAGAAAACCCCAGCGCTACTTCAAACCAAGCCCCCTTTCTTGTTCAAGCTTGGTCCAACTTGAATAGGATTTGCTATTTTAGTCAAGGGCTTTAAGTTTCAGCTCGGTTCTCTAACATGCCGGATGTTGTCTGAATTCGCTGGGCACCTGGGCACTTTGGACACGGTTTTATGACATTGCGAAAGCTTGCTTGGGTCATCTTGGCAAAGGCATCATGCTTCATTTCATATGGCAAAGGCAGCGTGCTTCATTTCATATGGGATTGCGCACATGGTTCTCGTCCAATAGACTACACCTACAAATAGGGTGGGAAGGTGGGGAAAGCAAAAATGGAACTAGAAATGAAGAACATAGGTGAGGTCGAATGGCCTCACGTCCCTCTTTTGTAGGCAAAAGAGGGTGAGTAGTGCTTCGACGCTGTCCTTGCTGCGTTGGCCCTCGCTACACTTTCACGATACACATTTTTTAGAAAGTGTTACACGCTTGCAAAATTTTACATATTGTGAAAGCTTGCTTGGGTCATCTTGGCAAAGGCAGCGTGCTTCATTTCATATGGGTCTTCTGAGGCATGTGTAGCAGGGGCTGGTGGTGTCGCTCGATAGACAGCTATCTATCGACTGGGCGATGGTGACTGGGCGATGGAGCGGCGGAAGCATCTTGGATGCGCGTGGATGTCGCAAGGAGCTGGTCCTGTGCAATGGTGACGTAGAGATCTTTGGCGGTATCTTTGCGCCAGCGACCGAGTCGCTTGAAGAGCCGGTCAGGGATCCCCAAGTTAGCGGCCGTAGTTGCGGCGCCCTTGCAAAAGGAGTGGGTGCCGAGGTGTCTGTTGTCAAGCCCAGCCTTGGCGAAGGCTTCGAGGCACCAGTTGCGGATGGTTGTGTATGACGGAGCGCTGTCTTGAGGGGTTGCCCTGCCGCTGGGATCCATGAGCCCTTGCTGTCCTGATCCGTCTTGGAGTGCAGGATTAGGATCCACATAGACTCCTCGTCGAAATGGATGTCGTTCCACCGGATGGAGACGAGGTCGGAGTAGCGGAGGAATGCCGCGAACATGAGGAGTGGGATCAATCCTTTCTGATGTACTGCCGACTTGCTCGTCTCAAGGAAGGGGTGTGCCATGGCGTGCACCTGGTGGAGCGACAAGGGTTCCTTCGTCCTGGTGGTGCACGGGCCGTGGCGTTTGGAGAATTCACGAAACTTGTGAAATGAAGGGCCCGCTGGTGGGAGAGGGTTCTCCGGTCATCCAGTGTGCAAATGCGACAGCGGAGCACGTAAGGGATATGGCGGATATTGTGGCCTGATTGTTGAGGGCGTAGACAAGGTAGAGCGCTAGAGTGGTGTCTGTGGCAGGCAGGTAGCTCAGCTTGACCTTTGTGCAAAAGGAACGGAACTTGAGCCAATACGGCTCGTAGGTCCTTATGGTGGATGGCGCGCGGACATGGGTGATTACCCGACATGTAGGTTTGGTAATAAGCCTGAAATACAGAGAGCGCCAGACACGATGGGGTTATATTTTATATGTCACATGCAACGCGATGATCGGGCTATTGGGAAATCCGAGACCAGCAAAGGCTAGTGAGTGTGTGCCAGGGGATAGGCATTGGCTGCCTTGAGTGAGGGGAATATGTGCCTTTACTTCCGGTGCCCAGGTTCGTGGTGCTGTCTGCAGTAGGGGCCACCAAGAGGCTCTTGGCCACTCGGGAATGACCAACGTCAACTCGGCGCGGGTGCGTTGGGCGTGGCGCACAGTAGCCGGGATGAGGTGGGGAGGGGAAAATGCGAAGCCGCATTCATCATGCCAGCTGAACAAGAAGGCGTCAACCGCTGTGGCCTTGGGGTGAGGAAACTTGGAGCAGAAGCGCCCCAGTTGAGCGTTGTGAACGTTCGCGAATAAGTCGACAGAGTGAGGCCCCAGGCGGCGGTCGAGGAGTCGGAACCATGGGGATTTGAGTGAGTAATCATCTCGGTCCTGGACTTTGGTGAGTTCATCGGCGTGCGCGTTCAGCTCCCGGGGAATCCGTTCGATGGCAAGGCGTGTCCGATTTTTTAAGCAAAGGTCGATGATTGCCTGGCAAAGTAGTGTGAGTGCAGGGATGCTGGAGCCGCCTTTGCGCAGTATGAATACAACCCCCTGGATGTCCACACGAACTAACACGTGCCGTTTGGAGATGTGGGTGACAAAGGTTCTGAGTGCCCACATTACACCTTCGAGTTCCCTTCGGGTGCTGGAAGTGTGTAGGAGGTCTTCTGGCATGCAGGAGCTTGCTTCTATTGAAATCCCAGGGAGTGGCATAAGGATGGCGCCCCAACTGTGGGTGCTTGTGTCCACGTGGATGACGGCGTCGAACTGGTGACTCAGATGAAATGGGGCGCCGTTAAATTTGTCGAATTGCACCAGCCAAAAACGTAGCTCGTCCACCGCTGCCGGGTGCAGGAGGACCTTGGAGTGCCATGATGTTGCGTCGGCAATAAGTTGCAGGAGTTCGTGGCTGAATGCTCGTGCAGTCGCGCCCAGTGCTAGGGCCATAGAGGCGACCATGCCTGTAACTCTTGCGAGGGAGCGAACGGGAACATGCCTTCCTGATTGTCCTTGGGTTATCAAGGCCTCAAGCATGATTAAGAGTTGTGCCCTTCGCTCGAGTTCGAAGCCGCCGCCTGGGTTGCTTTAAGGTCCTGGAGGACTGTCGTACGAGTCAAGCATGCTTGCTGGTGGGAATCGTAGAGAAATAATAGGTCGTCGACATACGGGACCACTCGAACGCCGCTTGCCCGCCATCGCCTGGCAAGTTGTTTAATTAGTTGGGTGAAGACGAATGGAGCAGTTGCAAGGCCGAACGGTAGTGACCGAAAGGAGTAGTAGATGCCTTCGAACTGGAAGCCCAAAACCTTCCAACAAGAGGGGTGAATCTTGACGTGATGGTATCTAGATTTCAGGTCGATGGAGAACATCCAGAAATCTCGGCGGATGAGCTCGGCTACATGATTCATACCTTCGTACTTGAACTTGGGGACTTCAAGGTGAGTCTTCACTTTCCGCAGGTCAAGGATAAGGCAGCATCTGTCGCGCTGCTTCACGACGTTCAGAGGGCTGACACATGTTAGTGTCTCTCTCTTCTCGATCGCTGCGGCAGCGCCAGTGACTACGAGATCGCGAATTGTGTCGCGAGTAAAGTCGAGGTGCGTGCAGACTCCGGCATGGTTGTTGTCCTCAAAGGGTGTGGGGGTTGCATTCTTCCAGGGCAGCCAATACCCTTTAGTGATGACGGAGAGGATAAAGCTACTGTCGCACCAGGAGCACCACCAGTACAAGGCATGCCGAAGTCGACTGCGCATGATGGTCACGTCCCTGTCTGTAATTGCGAGCTCGTGGGGATCGCGTTCCTCTTGTGGCCACCCACCTGGGATCTCTGCATTATCAGAGGTTATAAACATGGGCTGGTAGATGGGAGTGTGATACTGTGCTCGTGAACGGGTGCACGATGCGGGGCAAGTGTATACGTGGCATGACATGCTCGGATCGCACGGCCACTTCCGTGTCCAGTGCTTGCAAGGTGCAAGGGGTCCTCGTCTCTCTATCTCCCTTCTCTTTCTTTGTCGCTCTCTCTCTCTCTATCTCTTTCTCTCTCTCTCCCTCTCTCTCTTTCTCTCTCTCTCTCTCTCTCTCTCTCTCTCTCTCTCTCTCTCTCTCTCTCTCTCTCTCTCTCTCTCTCTCTCCCTCTCTCCCTCTCTCTCTCTCTTTCTCTCTCTCTCGCTCGCTCTCTCTCTCTCCCCCTCTCTTGATCTCTCTCTCTCCTTTGCGTGCAAGGGCATCACATGCTATGTTTGTACGTGAACATTTATTCAGCACGTCCGTGCTCGTTGGTGGTTGACTTACGCTTCTTCCTGCTCCTTTGTTTTGCTCTCCTTGTTTGGGCCACTCCTTATGCTAGCTTGAGCTCCTGGACTCTGTCATTGGCTCTGAAATAATTCATCTCCGAGTGCGTGCGTGCGCGACATTTGTTGGGCGCCGGGCGTGCCTCCATGCTTAGTTCTCGAGGCGTGTTGTGTGGTCGGCAAGAAAAAGTGAGGGGTCAGGGGCCACGCTCAAGGCTGTTCAGCCATGTTGACTGGGTTTTGTCGCCCCCTCCCTCCCCCCTACCCCCTCAAGGGTTTTCTTTTTCTTCTTCTTCTTCTTTTGTAAAAAAAACTGATGGCCGTGACACCATCGAGCCTTTAATTCAATCATAGGAGTTACTGTATTACAAGCCTAGGCCTATCAGCCTTTGCTATCTCCAAGGGCTACCCTAGTCAGCAACGATTCTTGCCTTCGGCAAAAGGCTGGCCACTGGCCATGCACCCACCGTGCAGCCCACTATGCCTCTTGCATGTGGGAAAGAAGGGCGCCGCCCTATCAACCGCTCACACCACCGGTGAGGGACCTTGCGCACCACGCCCTCCCATGTGGCATGCATTGGCCATGTGGCCTGGCTGGCCGCAGCAAAAGCAAACCCCCTTGAAGCGGGGCTGCTGGCACGTAGCAGGGGGGGAGCCCTTGATGTCCAAGTCCGTATCGCGGCCACCGGGACGGCCGCCGCGCGTGTAGCCGAGGCGTGCACGCTTGAGCGCTACCACATCCGCGACTGTCAGCTTGTAGGAGCGGGATGTCAGGACACTTTTGGACTGATAGAGCTGGAACCGGTCGGCGACCTCGAAACCGGCTTCGTCCGCAACGAGAAGGACATGGAAACGCTTGTTAATAAGTATTTCGATATCCTTTACGTTGTTGAGTGCGCCGACGACATCGCCGTGCTGCAGCCTGAAGTCGATATGCTTCAGGTACGCTTCGATGGTCGTGAAGACCTCGGCCTGGTCGCGTATGCCCTTGCGCATGAAGGTAGTAGCTGCGGGTGTGGGGCCAAGGGGGGGGAGAGGGGGGGCGGGTGCGAGGATGCAACGACGAGCAATGTTGGCGGGGCCTTCACCGTCGTCATTCTCGGAGTCGTCGCTGTCCTCGGGGTTGTCAGCGGGTGCGGAAGTTGGTGCCGGGGGCTGGTCATCGGCGCGGGGAGCCTTGGGAGCGCGAGGATGGGTAGTCATTTCTTTCTTTTTGTTAAAATTGATTGTAGGCGCAGCATTATCGGATGAGATTCTGACAGTAATCGCAGGAGCTTGCTGTTGTAACAGCACCAAAAGCGCTTGTAGTTGGTGCGCAGTCAAGGCGGGGGCGGCGGCGGTTGGCGCAGGGTTAGCGGCAGGCGCGTACTGGGTGGTGGGGCCCACCTGGCCTGCAGGCAACGCGACTCGGGCTGGCGCGTGGTCTTCCATTGCAGCCGTGCGAGTTTCTTCTGGAGAAGCGTGACTGCAGCCGAGTAGAATCTCGACTGCCGAGGGGCCCTCGCCGAAATTGTCCTCGGCAGGACGTTTCTGACGATGGTCGGTTCCCCCGGGCAAAGTTCCGATCGCCTGGGCGTTAGCGGGAGTCAGGGCCTCAGATTCGTTTTGGGGCGCGCTGATCGCTCAGGGTCCCCCCCTCGTAGCTCCCTGTTTTTTCAGGCCTCGAAAAAAAAAATTACGCTGATCAATTAGGGTGTTGTATAAATTTTGTGCTGAATAAACCGGGTAAACTATAGAAAACACGTTAATTAAAACCCGACGGCATAATAGCAGAGGGGGTCCCTCTTGATTGTTGAGTGGGTGCGAAATTCCCCGTAATCCCCCGGATAAAACACCCCAGCTATAGTATAAAATTCATGCAAAATCTGGGGGGTGGGTGCTCTATTTCGCGTTTAGGCTATAGCACCCTAGTGTTATATTTGAGGACATTTTTTTTAAGACATGCATTAGATTCAGTGTGTCATGGCGATTTCAGCCATCTAAGTTCCGGCTGAAAAGGCGTACGTTTTCTCGAGGTTTGGAATAGCCCTAGATTGACAGATTGCTCCTGAATTTCAATGGTGTGTCAGGTTAGCGAAGCGAGATTGGGGGGTTGGCGACTCTCGCAATAATCAGGACGAAACATGCGATGCTCGTGAACCAATCTAAAGCGGCATCTCGCACAAGAAAACCAAATTCGTCAGCCCACTACGCTTTTCCAGGTGAAAATTTATTGCGCTTAGTCATTTTCAGTACCAGAGAACCCTGCCAGGCGCTTCGGTAAAATACAACTTTTCTGTCCTGGTCGTAATCAGCATGAAATAGCATGAAAAAAATTGTATTTGTTGTAGGTATTGCTAGGCATAGAATGGCTAAAATAGTAAAGGGGATATAATTGCGGATTCTTCAATAGAACACCCTCTCCGGATATAACACCAGTGGGTGCTTAATTTCGACGGGTGTTATATCCGGGGGATTACGGTAAGTCCCGAAACGTGGCGAAAAAACGAAACGTCCCAGTGCCCCAAAATTTGTAACTGTCCGAAAACAAAAAAGGATTGCACAAATCCTATTGGTTGCGCGATTGTTTTAGCCGATGTGGGCTCGATGAAAAACTATTGACAGCTTGGCGCGTCGTGCAGCCCCCCTGCGACGTTTGTCGCAGGCCACGTGGGCCTCGCTTTTTTCTGCAGGGGGCCTCGGCTTTTTCAAGTGGGACCCCCCTCCGCTATTCCTGTTTTTTCGTACATTCCCTGGGCGAAAATCAAGTGGGGCCTCACTTGATGACCAAGTGGGGCCCGTTTTGACGTGGCAAAATCGCGTGCCATGTCGTGCAGCCCACAACGCGCTGTTCGATATTCGGAGTTAGCTGTTCGCGCTGGGCAGCGCTGTTCGCGCCACTGCCCAGCTTTGAACAACGCTCTGTTCGATACACAGCCCTGATATTTTGCCGTCGAGTTCCTGAATACATGCGCGGTATTTGTTACAGGTTCCTGATTACAGTCTTGGTCAGACACAGTCAAGTTGGCGTGATTAACAGGGACAGTGGGGGGGAAATTAGGAAATAACGGGGGGGGGGGGGTGGTTGGGGCTCGGAATCCGCTATAACACGTAGTATCAGGGTCAGTCCCCAATACGACGTTGGAAAAACAGGCCTCACTACACTAGTCACGCTGATCGATCAGAGTTCACTTCTAAAAAAATGCTGAAATTTCACGTCCGTGTTAAAAAAAAACTCTGTCTCATCAGGGTCACCCTCGAAAACAACCCTGATTTTACCCTGAATCTGGATAAAAAGCCTGCAATCTGAGGCCCTAGCGGGGGTAGAAATGTTGTTCGCCGCGCGAGCCGGAGCAGAATTGGCGGAAGTCATAATGGCGATATTGTGCTGCAGAATGACGGTGAGGAGCGTTGTCGGGGCTTTGAAGCGCAGAAGTGACAGGTTTTTCACCAGCTTGGGCGAGAACAAGGAGACTAAAACTAGGACGAGAACTGGAAAACGAAACTGGAACTAGAAATGAAGAACGTGGGTGAGGTCGAATAGCCTCACGTCCCTCTTTTGTAGGCAAAAAAGGGTGAGAAGCGCTTCGACGTTGTCCTTGCTGCGTTGGCCCTCGCTACACTTTTTACATTACACATTTTTTAGAACATGTGGCAGGTGAGTCATTCAGAAAATATAGGACCTTTCTGTTAGAATACGAGAATAATTACTAGGGTGTGAAACATTGCACATATAGCAGTTGGGGTTGTACTCACTAGGAGCACACACCGATACTAGCCTATAACTTCTACATGAATGATATGTATAAGTTGACACACCCCCTAAGCTAGAGAAGGGGTGGTGCTAAGCAAGAAGCATACAGCTCAGGATGGCACTACTAGTTCAACCACTGAGGCAGGGGTCTGAAGACCAATCAACAAGAGTACAGACAAGACAAGAGTAAGCCAGGGCGGCACTACTAGTCCAGCCACGGGGATTAAAGCCACAAGGGCAGTCAGACAGGAATATATAGTGAGGAGTACACAATCAAGGTCCTAGCAAGTGAGTGGCTACAGGAACAAGACCAAGCTGTACACAGTGCAGCTCATGATCTTTAGGCACAAGCGCCTTAGTAGAGACATCAGTTGTGTTGGCACCGGAGGCCAAGTGAACTACGCGGGCCTGGCGACGCTGCTATAGCTCGCGCAGGAGGAAGTACCGCAGCTGGATATGCTTCGCTCTGCCTTCAAGTCGAGGCTCCTGACACAGGAGAATCATGGCCCTGTTGTCAGCGTACAGGACCGGGGCAGAGCGAGGCCGCTCACCTAAGTCCATGAGCAAGAAAGTCAGCCAGCGGAGCTCCTGTGCCGCCATGGCACCGGCATAGATCTCAGCCTCACAGCTAGACTGAGCAACAGACGACGAGCGAGTGGATCTCCACGATAGCACCCAAACCAAGGCCGAAACAGTAGCCCTGAGACGACCTGAGCGTCTCGGCGTCGTCTGCCCAAGAAGCGTCTGTGTGCCCAGTAAGGACCACTAGCCTGCGTCCTCCAAGCACTAACCCCATGCCCGATGTACTTTCTAGATAGCGCAAAACCCCCTTAGCGGCCGACCAGTGTTGTGGTCGGTGTCTGCGTGTGGCCACAGAGCGAGCCAGGATGGTGAGAGTGCAAATCATCAGGTACATGAGGCAACCCACGAGCTCTGCGTAGGGGCCACTGGGCTCTACTGGCTCCTCGAGAACAGGAGCAGAGAGCCCATGGTCTACAGGTAGAGGTGTGGGCTGTGCCGAAGAGAACTAAAGGCCAATCCTCTGAAGGACCTGACGCACCAAGTGTTACTGAGTCAGAGTGATGGTGCGTGCTGCTCTGTCCCTGGAGATCTGCAGGCCAAGATAGCGACGCAGCTCTCCTAGGTCAGTGCAGGTGTGTCTCTTCAGCAGCTCGGCCTTCACAGAGGCCAGTGTGTCCCTGTCAGCCGTAGCGAAGACCAGGTCGTCTACGTAGACAAGGATGTAGAACAGAGTCTGGCCAAAACGCACGAAAAGCGAAGGGTCAGCACAGGACGGAAAGAACTGTAGGTCTGCTAGCGTGGCACGCAGCGTGTCGTGCCACTTGCGGGGAGCCTGGCGCTGGCCGTAGACTCGACGCCTGAGAAGCCATTGGGTCCTAGGAGGGAAGGTAGGCCCTGTGGTCG